ACACACACACACACACACACACACACACACACACACACACACACACACAGATAAACACATAAATACACATGCTTTTAAAGTAAGTATTAACAATGCTTCATTATTTCTCTCATAATTAAACCTTAAAAATGCTTGGGAAGTAAAATATCTCCAAGGAGGTTTTTAGAGCATTGAAAAGAAATTCAGAAGTGAGGTAAATTAAAAGTATACAAACTAGAACTTGAAAAGTTTCATTTTCTAACCTTGGTGACAAGACAATTTTTACAAGCCTGTTAGTGGTAGTATCATGTCAATAAAACTGGAACATGTTCTAAACTGTTTTCTAATTTGCTATGCTCATGCTGCTTCTGTAATGAAACCACTGTGCAGGTTTCATTACAGAAGCATTACCACAAAGAACTGTAGGCAACTGAGGAAAGGTGAGAGTTGTGAGAAGGGGTCTCCCCCAAGAAAGAGCAAATCAATTTGTTGTCCAGTAACAAGCAGTAAGTCCTGTAAACATCCATACAAGCATCATTATATGGACTGAACAGGTTGTATTTAGAAATATATATGTATATACACATACATATATGCATACAAAATAATTAATGAAAAAAGGGGCCATGAATTGAAAGGAGAGTGGAAAGGGGTTTATAGGAGGGTTTGGAAGAAGGAAATGGAAAGAAGAAATATGTGGTGGATGTTTTAATTTATGATATGTATATATGTTTTTGTTAAAATTCCAAGTTGGAGATTTTAGTTTGTCCACACCTGTTAAGTGTCTCATGCAGAGCATGGTCTTTGCCAGGTGGAATTAGTTGAATTCTGGGGACTTTGAGGAGAGAATAAATTCCAGATTCCCAGAGAATAGAGTTCTGAGAAAGAACAAGGCTGCTGCTGCTTCACCATTGCTGCTGTTTCGGTTGTGCAACAAGAAGATGGAGATCTCCTGAAATGAAGATTGGGCTGGCTCCAAGGAACCCAACGACCCTAACCAGCAGGAAGCAGCTAAGAAAGAACTACACCCCCTCTCCCACTAAGCCTTTCTCTCTCCTACTTAATGTTGGGGTGTTGGAAGTGATTGAGATGGGGTAGGGAGAAAAAGATAAATGTAAATTAAAAAGAGCGCCTATAGAAATGAAATTATCTTATAATCTCAGGAAGAAAAAAATGTAAAGAATTTTCCTCTAAGTCATATTAACAACTTACACTAGCTGAAACAACAGAATTTATTTAAAAGTTTGACCTCAAAGTCTACACAAAGAGCAGATTTAGAAAGTGAGGGAGATGCTGAATACACATGTCACAGAGATTACAGGTTCCATATATCAATGCCCGAATTCTCAATTTTCCCCCAAGTCAATTTTTCCTTTACCCTGGTCCCACTCTTTCTTAAATATTTCATACTATATTTTATATTTATTGATTAGATCATAATGCATAATCCATGAAAATACTTGAGAAGCACAAAGAAAAAGTTAAGTCAACAAACCTAGGCCACATGATTCATGTAAACAGCCCAAAGGTGGGAAGTTCTACGTTGATCATGGATGCTGTCTTGTGTTTTGCTTTTGTTGTTATTGTTGCTGTTTTGTTTTGTATCTTTGTTTTTGTTTTGTTTTTCCTGTTGCTGGTATAAAATAGCCTGACAAAGGCAACTTAAGCAAAAAAAGGTTATTCTGACTCTTAGTTCCAGGGCTCAGTCCTTCACAGTGGGAAAGTCAAGGCAACAGAAGCTAGAAGCAGCAGGTTATATCATATCCGTGCCTAGGAAGTAAAAGCAAATCAGTTCATGCTGCTGCTTCTCAGCTTGCTTTCTCCATTTATATCATGTAGGATTTGATCCCAGGAATGAGACAATGGGTGAACTCTCTACCCAATTAATGTTATCATGTCACAAGGCATTTCCAGCGATCCAACTCCCAGATGAGTCTAAATCTCATCAGTCTGACCATCACACATATCTACAGCAAGACATTATGAGTGGTGACATTTCTGTTTATAGAAAAAGTAAATATCAATGTTCTTAATAATGTTTACAATCACCAAACAGCTAACAATGACTTCCCTGACATTACTAATCCAATAATTGTGACTGGTTAGTAATGACCAACTGATTTAAAGGTTTCAAAAGGCAACATACACAGTTTACCAAAGTTGACTTCCCAACAATGCCCAATCCAGTTAATATTTACAGGTCAAAGTGCTCACATTCACTGAAACCCAGCCTTGCACATCAGCCTTACAGGGAGGAACAGCTCATGCCAGAGGGAATGGTGGGCTCCAAGATAAAGAGTAACCCAGCCAGAAAGCTAAGGTTCACACACGTCTGCTTTCCATTAACTGGTATTGCAACAGTCTCTTCAAAGGCAAAGAACAATTTCCCCTCCACACCCCAAAACATATTGCTTTCTCCAAGGTGGTGGATAGAGAAAAAGATCCTAGGCAAGAGAGCATGGCTCTATGTTGCAGAGTCCTCCAATAAACTGACTTTAGACAGGGCTTTTGTTTTGTTTTGCTTTTGTTGTTGGAGATGGTGGTTTTCTTCCAATGAGATAAGTAACATCTGCTTATTGTGGATGGAAAAAAATGAAGCGCTTATCACAAATAAACATTAATTGAGAGCCTACCATTATTGATTTTGAAAATATATATCAAAATGAAGTCATGTGATTGATTTTCTCTTATTGCTACATTGCAAATCTCCTTTCACATAATATAATGCTCTCTGGTATTTAATTTAAAGGATACCTATGTATATAGTAAATCAATTCCTTTTAACGTTTGGCATGCAGGTATCTTCAAATTTTCCTTTATAAACATCTTTGAGCTAAGCATCCATTCAAAAACTCATGCTACAACGATTTATTGAATATCTACAATGCTGAACACATGCTGTTGAAATTTTTGCTCATATTCTCTTTTTTTGCTTTTTTATGAATATTGTGATTTTATAATATATTTCTGTTTTATAATATTGATAAATTATCCATAATGTTAATTTTATGATATTAAACAATAAAACAGCATTTACATACAAATCTTTCAGAGTATGCATTTATTTCCTCTGGATAAACTGGGGAGAAGGATTACTAGCTTTAATGTTAAGGTATTTTCAACTTCATGAGAAATCGCCAACTTTCCCCAAAACGCTGCTGTGCTGCTGTGCACCCATCAGCAGTGCTAAGGCCCGGATGACAGCATTCCTGCCTGGGCTGTGCACTGTACCTGGACTATATGAAGGTTTCTGCAGTACAGTTATGTTGTCTGAGGCTACAGGTGGTTTTGCTTCCTTTCCACTATGTTTTCTTTATTTCTGAGGTTTCTGTCCTGCTGTGCTGATGGAAACTTACAGGTCCAACAATGGGAAGTGTTAAGGGCTTATTCCTCACCTTGTTTCCAGTCTTAGGAAGACTGTCTTTCACTATTAGTGTAATATTGTAGATGGTTTCTTTTTCTCTCTCTTTTTCTTTCTTTTTTATTTTTATATCCCTTTATCTAGGGAAAATTTCCGCTGCTTCCAGTTTTATGAGATTTTAAACATAAGTAGGAATTAGATTTTTTTAATTTTTTATTAATTACACTTTCTTCATTTTGTATCCCCCCATAAGCCCCTCCCTCCTCCACTCCTGATCCCACCCTCCCTCCCCATTCTGCATGCATGCCACTCTCCAAGTCCACTGATAGGGGAGGTTCTCCTCTCCTTTTTGGTCTTAGTCTATCAGTTCTCATCAAAAGTGGCTGCATTGTCCTCTACTGTGGCCTGGTAAGGCTGCTCCCCCCTCAGGGGGAGTTGATCAAAGAGCAGGCCAATCAGATTATGTCAGAGGCAGTCCCTCTTCCTATTACTATGTAACCCATTTGGACACTGAACTGCCATGAGCTACATCTGTGCAGGGGTTCTAGGTTATCTCCATGAATAGTCCTTGGTTGGAGTGTGAGTCTCTGGGAAGTTCCCTGTGTTCAAATTTTCTTGTTCTGTTGCTCTCCTTGTGGAGACCCTGTCCTCTCCAGCTCTTACTATTTCCCACTTCTTACATAAAATTCCATATTCTTAATTATTTCTTTAAGATACATTTAAAAGAAGTGGGAATGATTATCAGAGCACCCTTTTTAGATTTTCACTGCACTCATCAACTTCTCCTTCCAAGAGATGGTACAAATAGACTCTTCAGCTAGCCCCACCCCAGGATGCCTCCTTCACACTGTCTTTACCAAGTATACTCTCATAGTAATACTCAGATGAACAGTGTCAAGCGTTCATGGAAAAATAAAACCTCAGTTCCCATCCTCTAGAGTTACTCCACTCAGTCAACATCTCTTATAGCTCAGACCAGACAATCTACACCTGAGATTGTGTTTTAAGAATCTCTCACACTTCTTCCACAGCAATAAAAGTCTGAGAACTACTGATTTTGTGCAGAAGAAAAAGAGTTACAAGTGATGCTTCCCACCAGCTAGCATCTCCCCTCATCACCTCACAGGCCTCTTTTATCAATAGCCTTTCCTGACACTGGCTGAGAGCTAGCTCTTCACAGAGGTACCAATGGGATTTTACATATATTGTTGAAACTATTTGTTAAGAAAGCAAACTCCAGAACTGAGCTGGTTAGATTACTGAGATAAGTAGGAAAGACAGATGTGGTCATCTGCAGATAAACAGAGCAGGGCAGCACTCAGAGGTAGGACCATGAGCTAGTAGAGCCCTTAGCTAGAAGACTGGCCCGGAGCTCTGCCCCATATGACATCAACTCTATGGCCTTGGGAAACTGCATACTTCTCTTAATCTTCTTTCCCTCCTCGAATTCAAGAGGAATGGAATATCCCATCTGGCTTGAGCTGGGATGGTCACATACACTAAGCTATGTGAAATGCTTTGAAGCTGTAAAGTCCGGTCCACATTACAAGCAAACATTTACTATCAGAGTTCTGGGCCTGGGTATTGGGGAAGATTGCTTTTTCCTTGCAGAGTCCCTCTTCCTCATTCTGCCCATGAAATTCACTTCTTCCTGTGAGCCTTCAAAGGCTCCATTTATCAGCTGTCAAAGTACAAAGCAAACAGTTTCCTTGGCCTCCTTTTGAGGGGTATCACTTACACTTCCCAGTTGGAATATTATCCTTCTTATCGGCTGACTGCAGAGATGCATGACCCACCACCTTCCTAAGTTGTATGGAAAATTACTTAGATAGAGCAGTCTAGTTGCAGAGAAATAAACAGACTGTGAAAATTCAAAACACTATTGGAAAAGCATGCATAATATTTAGAGTTCAAAGACAAGAAAGCACTCAAATGCTGGTGTTTTTTACTGGGATAAAGACGGTGTCTTTGACCATCATAAAAATAAACGACTAGAAGAGAACTCTTGGATGTCTTTTGCATGCATGCTTTCCATGGCTATTCTCATTGTGGAAAAATAGTGCCACAGCTTCTCAAATATGAATTATACTTTACTCCCTTTTTTCTCATCATTTCCTAGGTGTGATTAGTCAATAATCTCTCTGGCTGTTAGGCAAGTTACTTAACCTAGGTTTCAGTTGCCTCATCTGATTAAGAATAGGTAGTGGTATACTTCATCTCAAACTACTCCTGATTTATTTTAGAGGACCACCATCTGGTCCTTGGCCATGTACTCTGCCAATATACCCAACAACTGCTCTGCAGAGAGAGAAGATACATCTGACGCTCATTACATATTCAGGGCATTCATGCTTCTCCCTAGGCCCTTTAAATGTAAACAGAGCATAGAGGTGAAAAGTAATGGAAGGTCCCAGCCCTCTTGGGTGGAAAGGGGGGAAAACATTGATGGACTTAAAAAAGGAGAGAAGAGAT